GGAGCAGCATTCTCCTGGCATCAAATCACAGAATGTTAACATTAATGTAAATTGTGAAACTAGCTCTATCTAATATAGACATGTTTACATAGGATTGTTTGTGTGAGGCTGAGATGGCAGCAATAATCGTAGGCAAAGAGGTTCATGAAGGGTGACATACAGCAGCCTACATGTAAATTAATTAAAAAAAAAAAAATAATAGAATGATATAGCATAATACTTATTGCATTCGGATTTAATACTGAACACACAAGATATATATATACTCTTCACAGTTACTAAGGAACTTGTTTCCCTTCTCCGTCTGACTCTCCTGTTCACCTCTTCAGTGCTGGGGAATCGAAAGGAGCTCAATGTAACACAATGGGAAGCTGGAGTGGTTATGGTGCTTGGCCTTGTACTCCTTTAACGGCTCAACTTTTTTGTTTTTTTTGTCTACTTTACTGGTTTTAAGTGTGAAAGCATAAAAGCCTAAACAATGAGCTCACTGTTTAAGGTTAACATAATCATGTGAATGTTAAACTGACAAACCTGTAGCCAGGAAACAGCTTAAGTTCTTCAGGTGTCAAGTGGCGAAAGCCAAGGACAATGTCCCTCCAAGAGGGCTCCTACAAAAAGAAGACACAATGATTTATTGAATCACAATACAAAAATGTTTTGATAATTATTTAATTGACAGATTGTTAAACCCTGAAACTCTCCGACAGCATATTCAGTGGAAGATGAAGTAAGTCAGTGATGGCCAACCTTCCTTCAGCCAGAGTGTCCGATCTCCTGCAGACATGTATAATTATTAATTGGTAAAAATTAGTTCCTAATTGCCGCAGTTGGAGAACTATGACAGCCTGACAAAGATAAAAACTATTTTTCTTTTAGCATTCAGGAGTCACAGAAAGACAGGAGCATCAGCCCTCAAATAAACAAAACTCTTGTAAAGAACATAGGTGACAGCAGGCGCGTACCTAGAGCATTTGGCACCTGGGGCGGATCCTGTATTTGGCACCCCCCTCCCTCCCCTCATTCAAATGTAAAAAAACACAAATTAATTTATTTTTAAAGTTTTATTTAGTGTTTCTTTTTCTTTTTTTTAATTGTCATTTACAAAACCCTGGCAGTCCCCCTTAGCATTAAATTAATTGAAAATGTTATCAGATGGTCTATGTTTACCATTAACTTATGGCAATCGGTATATTAACTGAACAAGGGAATCTGTAAATAAAGAAATATGTAGACTGATCTTTGTGCGTTGATTTCATTTTTCGCCTTATTAGCACACTTTACATTAAAACAAAATGAATTTACCAGCTAAACAGCTGTATTGAGTACAGAACCACTGTCAGCTTATATAAAAATAGTATACATTCATTTTTACCATTTAAAAAAGAAATAATTTAGGAACACATTTTGTAATATCAGGAAAAGAGCTCCTGGGTATGCAGTGAAGTTAGAAAATATTATCCCATTTTTCATCTGTTGATTCTGGTTAATTTAGTCGGGTTACTGTTTGAAATAGTTTTACTACATTTTCTGTGAATTCCAATAAAAACATTAAAAAATTAGGTATGTCAACCTGAAAAATATTATTGCTGTAAAAAAATGTGAATGTCCTTATTTCTATAAACGGTATTACATTCACACACAAATATTAACCCTTGTTTTAACTCACCATTTATTGCCTCTTAATATCTACATTCAGATTGTTGCAAATTAACCATAAGGTTCATTTAGAAAGAAAGAACATAACACAATGTAAGGTTTTTGTATTTACATTTATTTTAAAAGCTAAAGTAAAAAATACAATTAAAATAAAATTTGCCCTAAAAGTACTTTTCCTTTATCTACTGAAAAAAAAATTTGGACAAATTTCTAGCAATATATCTTAAGTAAAACATTTCCTTCCTGACCCTATGTTAATGTGATCAGCTATACTTCTGTCCATGGACATTTTATTTAAATTGAAAAAAAAAACAGAAAAACCTTTTGGAAATGGAAATAAAAATCCCGACTCCATGCTAAGGCAGTCTGGGCCCCCGATAGATTGACTTATTCCCAGTTCATCGCGTTGTCTCTTGTTAATTTTTCCTGAGCGTGTCCTGCTTCCCACTGCCCCGTCAATAATATGGCTACAGAATGTGCCAGCTCCATTAATAATGTTCCTGCCTATTATGATGTGAGAATGACATCATTCTTTTTATGACATCATGAATGGTAAAATGCTTGTGTCCATGGTTTGTGTGGGACAGTGAGGCATGAGTATAATACAATAGTAATTGTTATAAATCATATATTTTTATTTTTTATTTTCAGCTGGTAGCATTTTATCATTTTATTGCTTTTTTAAATTCACTTAATTTTTTTCCTTGTTACGTTAAAAATCTATTTTAGAATAACAAAAAAAAAAACAACAACCATGAATAAAGTCAGTGTTGTGGGAAAACCTTTAACACTGTATTAAAGGAATTTTGATTTAAAAAGTTACTCCTCTTACCTGGTCATTCCGGGTGGAGGGTCTCCACTAATGTAGAACTTAGCTGACCACTCTCAGCCAATAAATTAGATTATGTACATCGAACTGCGCAGAACTGACATTAACCAGCCTAGAACTCTATTTCCGGGCTGGCTGAGGAGACCCCAATGACGCTCACAGAGGTGGAGTTAAACCCCAGCAGCAGAGAGGTTAAACTCGGTATGTGCAGTGTTTGAAAGCAAAGCACTGAGCATGCAGACGCCAGGCACCATGAACACATCAAATTACTCCAGTGGTCATGGTGCCTGGAATAAACTTGTTCTGGATTCTCAGGACCACATCAAATCTATTGTTTCTTCTAGACAATTTATTGACATGCTTATTTAAAACAGCAGACCTCTTACTGTGCTACCAAGGAGGATAGCTAATCTAAACAGCTGGCCTGACATTAAAAGAACATGTTGAATGTCTCGCAGAGCATGTTGAACTCTGACTCTACTAACGCAGAGAATACCCAGCCCAACACCAATATTTACATAACAGCATGCAGCTCTATAAGGAGGACATCAAATGGTAGGCTTAAACAGCTGCACCTTAGCGTCTACTTGTGTAAAAATGAGTTTATTATATCAGTACATCTTTATAGAGGTAATGAGGGGGGAAAAACAAAACACTGCTTTTATAGGTTTTGAAAAATGATCTAATTTCGTTACCATCAGAGATGTGCAATCTCTGGTTGTCTATGTGGTATTGGGTACATTTGCCTACAGGCCCAATAATCAGCATGGGACTTGCAGTAGTCCACAGCAGGTGAAGTAGCAATGGTGAATTATATGTGTGTCATTTTATCCAATGTTGGTACACTGGCATGAGTTATCAGGGTAATGTATATATACCTATATATTTCATTCATATACTGCAAATACAAATGCCACTCACAGGAGCTGGTTCACTCAAAAGGTTGTATCCAGACTGCAGGAATATTCCCATGTCTTGAGCATCCTCTGAATGGACGTATTTTAGCAGGTAATCAAATGTCTCTTTGTTCCATTTTCTGCAAAAAATATCACATTGTAGATATTTCCAATATACAATAATGCCATCACATTTTGCTGCATTATGCTATAACATCTCTACTTCTGCGAGAATCCAATATCTACAAATCCACATATCTCAGAGTTTTTGCAGGTGTTGATGTCTTTGTTATTCTGATAGAGCTTTTATTATGTCCCAGATAACATTGGCCATACCCTGCAAGGTTATTTCATTTCTAAAGAACAAAGCTCCAACATTTGCTCCTTCCTGCAATGGGAGAGTTGGAGATCTATTGAAGAACTATTTGTGTTGGTCAGAACTCAAATTTTCAATGAACACAGTCCAACAAAAAAATGTTTCTTGTACAAGCGATACAAATGACTATTCAGTTTACTCTAGCTCTCTATTCAGGTTTATACCTTTTAATGGACTAATTTATATGTACTATATATGCTTTCCCTGCTGAGATTTCAGTTTAACCAGCAGTTTCTGTCACTATCCCTGTTGGGTCTATTGCTACACTTTTTTCTTTGCAAACTCCTTTAGTAGCAACAAAGTGATACTTTTGTTGCCAACCTTTACCAGAAGGTTAGGTGTCAGACAGAACAAGAGATACAATCGGCAAATTAGGAGCAAAGAGATACATATTTTTATATATTTTTTTCTTTTTCTCCCCATTTTTGGTTTTCATAAGGTCTATCAATTTATACTTGCACGATAGTACTTCACTTTTAACTGTGTGATACCTTAGATATTATTTTCTTCTTGTTTTTTTAAAGATTAAGAATAAAAATAAGTTTTAAAGTTCACAATAATTCTTCATTCTTTACATCTAATTACATCTGTAGGCAATGTTCCAGTTCTCTTTAAACACGTATTTACCAAGGGTTACTCCCTTAACAAGCCTACATCATTGAGCTAACTTTCCTTTCTAGTTGAACTAAAACATTGGCTATATGCAAATGCACATCTCCATGAAATAAATTACCTCTTTTGCTTACTTTGAAGCCCTATGAACGTGAGGACATCCAGTGTCAGGCAACTTTTTGATATTGTACTTTTCAAAATAAACCTACGTTTCTATGAAAACTGAAGTTTGTTTTTTTTAATTTGTGGCCCACATAAACGTAAACCTTGTTTGTTTGGCTGTGTTAGCCTTTGAGTTTGGCATACTTGCTTTAGAGGATGCTTCTTTCCTTCCTGCCCTGGATCTCCTGACGCTTTCATCCTGTCATAGGACCCATTGATAGAAATAGTACTGACTATATCACCAGCTGTCATGCTAAACTTTCCTCATACTGTAATACGGAGAGGAATGAAGCCGGGTGGCAGTGCTGTGACAGGGACTGAAGCCCCAACTGTGAGGTTAAACAAAACGGATTAACCCCTCAAGGTAAGAAGGTGCTTCGACTGTCCTGTCCCCATAACAACGTAAATGATCTTGTGAGTCATGGTGGGATTGTACCGTTAAGCCCTAACAGGGACAATGGTACACTTACCTGGTCCCTGGGAGCCAAATCTGTGAAGAGGGACAGACCACAGGTTTGGCTCCCAAGGACCAGGTAAGTGTAAAACTGTTCAAAAAATGTTTGACTCTTTGCCTTGGGATATGACCAGCTTGGTACAGTTGTTATGTTTATATCCTTTTGTGGATTTTAAGAGGTTAACAGCTCTTACAATAGGAAATAGTAGCCTCTACTATTAACCTGACCATTTTGAAAAATGAATGATTTTTGCTTTTAGCCTTGCTCGTTGTATATGTATTAAGAGTTAACACTTACGTTTCTTGCGTGTTTCCATTGTCATAGAGATATGGCTGCCAAAGCCCTGCTGCTCCATCACTGGTGGTTAGAGGGGTGAATTTGTCTGCATACACTTCAATTTTCAGTGGCTTCACAATGCGGTGATACTGTTCATGGATACACAGTGCTGTGGAGAGTCCAATCACCCCAGCACCTATCACCGCAACATGCATGTTCCTTAATGCTGTGTATCTGGAGGAAGTAAAAAAAAAAAATCATAATCTATAAACACCAGTCTTTTTGTGGGCAACGTTTTGGAATGCTAAGACGAAAGTGTAAAGGGAATGTATTTATGCAGGTATGACTAACTTAATGAGGGCTATCTTACTTTACTTGCATTTATTTAAAGGGACACTCTACGTTACATAGCAACCACGAAACCCGAGGATCCACACTGCATTCCACATGAGCAATGTAAATTTCATCCAATTTAGACAGCACAGATTGGCTGAGCAGATCAGCCGGTAAAGATGGTTAGGGTGCCCCTTTTAAATGAAGGCAGTTTTGCAGGGTAATATATGAAAGGCATGAGTAATGTCACATGTCGATTAAAGTTCACAAATCTATGCGCTTAAAGGGACACTCAAGACCCCTAAAGCACTGTTTTTAAAAAAGTGCAGAATTCAATAGAATTGAACAGGTCCTGTTACTTCCAGGCAATTGCCCAGAGCATGTGCCTTGTCTGGGTGGGGCTAGAAAGGGAAGACGTAAGGAAAGGCTTCAGACAAGAGATCTGCAGCTTTTGCAAACTGTTTTTAGATTTAACCCTAATAAAACAAATACATAATTAAATTCACATATGGTTTTTATTTGAGGTATATCTACTAAACAATGATTGAATTATATGTTTTTAAATTAGAGCAGGGAAATGTCCCTTTAAAATAAAGAATACTGCTCGGGGAAGTGTTACCAGGTGGGGCCAATCACTCCATATGTAACATGAGTGACTACGGTGATGCCGACAGCTGGAAAGTTGGTGAGTATTTAGTTGACATCAAAATATAAATCATTATTTTCATTATGGTCACCATGATGGCAGGGCTGTAACTGCAAAATGAGGCCTCATGTTAGTGAAAAACCTGGGCACCACTGACTGAACATTTAGAACTAGGTTCTCTTTGTCTCTGCATCTTTACTCTACCAAGGATCTAATTTGTGATGGCATATTCCAGCATGCTCCATGCTCCATGCTGTGGTCCATTAGTGTTTAAGGGATCAGAAACATAGAACAAGGTATGTTACAGTGCTCATATCTCACTCTCACTTATCTTTCCTTACCTCCATCCTCATACTCGGAGGTACTAACACAATGCAGTGGACACTAGCGCAGGCCTTAGTGGCGAAGGGCAGTTAGTTGGAGGGCGTGTTGCCATTCACACATCACACACCCTAAGGCTGGCCCTATACGGTTGTCAAGTGAAGATGTATAATATGAGAAGGATGAGGAGACTGGATTAGGACATTAGAATAGAGAAGATATTTTTTGTGGGTGTGAGTGCAGCTTCCTTTAGGATTCCTAAGTCCTACCAAATAAGAAAATATACATATTAAGTCAAGATGGGTTGCAAAGATCTATTGTTGATTATCCATAACTACAGATTATTGTACAATTCAGCTAGAATATACCAAAATATTTCCTTTACATACATACAGCATTAATTAAAAAGGTAGCTTGCGGTGTCGCCCATCTTGGTTTATTTTTTTACTTCAGTCTTGAAGTAAACTTGCTCCATAACTCTTTTTTTTTTTTTAAAAAGATACAACTTAAACTGCATAAAGAGCAATATATCAGAGTTGCTTTTACAGCCAAATTAAGGCTTTGTTGAACATTTAAAGAAATCTTAAAGGGACACTATAGTCTCCAGAACAACTACAGTTTAATGTAGTTGTTCTGGTGTCTATAGACTGCCCCTGCTTTTACTGCAATAAATTACACATATTTGTATTCAGCGATGTTTCACATGTAAAACAGTACCCTTGATGTACAGGTTTTATGGGGTATTTGGAAGTTCCAGGGTCAAATATAGCATGTTACAATTTTCAGTTTTTTCACATTGAAATTCATCAGATTGGGTATGTTGCCTTTGAGACCGTATGGTAGCCTAGGAATGAGAATTACCCCCATGATGGCATACCATTTGCAATAGTAGACCACCCAAGGTATTGAAAATGGGGTATGTCCAGTTTTTGTTAGTAGCAGTGGTGTATCCTGGTTTTGTGCTGCCCTAGGCAGGATAAGCGCGGCAACCCATTCCCCCCCCCCCCCGCACCAACCCCCCCCGCCTTCTAAATACACACACACACACATTCAATGACAGATACGCATACACTCGCTAACAGAAACACACACACTAACAGACACACTCACACTCACTAACAGACACACACTCACTAACACACACACTCACAGTCAGACACACACACACTCACTGACACACTAACAGACAAACATAGTCAGACACACACACTAACAGACTCACTCACTAGCAGACACACACACTAACAAACACACACACATTAACAGACACTCACAGGCAAACACACACACACAGGCAAACACACACTCACTGACACACAGTCAGACACACACACATACACACTAACAGACACAGTCAGACACACACACACACTAACAAAACACACACACATTAACAGACACACACTCACTCACTCACATTAACACATTTTTTAATTTATTTTTATTTAGCCCCCCCCCCTTACCTTTGGGAGTGCTGGGGGGGAGGGGTTCATTACCTCCCTGGTGGTCCAGTGGATGCCGGCTGGGCTAGGCAGGCGGCTGGCGAGGGAGCTCTTCCCCTGAGCGGTCTGCTCAGCTCCCTCGCGCGCCTCAAAGTGAGGCTGGGAGCCGGAAGATGACGTCATCTTCCGGTTCCCAGCCTCACTCTGCGGCGCGCGAGGGAGCTGAGCGGACCGCTCAGGGGAAGAGCTCCCTCGCCAGCCGCCTGCCCAGCGCCGCCCGCCAGCCCAGCCGGTCAGTTAGCCGCGAGGCTAACAAAGCATTTGCCTGGGCATTTGGGGGGCGGCGTTTTTTGCCGCCCCCTGAAAAATGCCGCCCAAGGCAAATGCCTTGTTTGCCTCGCGGCTAAAACGCCCCTGGTTAGTAGCCACTCAGAAACACTGGCCAAAGTTATCTTGAGAAAGACCCAGGTTGAGGTCGAAACGTTGATCGGCACAGTGTGTCTACTTTTTACTTACATGCAATAAAAGGAGTTCTAAGTGTATTTTGATATCAATATATATAAATATATATATATATATATTATTAATGTATATGTATATATATATATATATATATATATATACCGTATTTATCGGCGTATAACACGCACTTTTTCTCCCTGAAAATAGGGGAGAAATTGTGGGTGCGTGTTATACGCCGGCCCTTTAAAATACTGCAGCCGCCTGAGCGCTCTGTGAAGAGCGCTCAGGCGGCTGCAGTTGGTACTCACCTCACCTCCCCTGTAGCGTGGCCCCCCTCCCCCTCTATTCACCCCCTTCTTACCCCCCTCCCCTGTAGCGTGGCCGAGTCGCACTGCTGTCCGCGGTGGCCGGCCGGAGTGATGGGAAGGTGCACGCTCAGTGTTCACCTTCCTGTCAGTCCGACCGGGTACAGGAAACAGAAACTCCTGTTCCGCACAATGAGCGTGCACCTTCCCATCACTCAGTCTTGTTAACAGCAATATCCCTAGGTGGGATCTTTGTGCTGCCATGGCCTATGACCAGTAAAAGAAAATTACTGTAAGTATGAGTAAATTTTCCTCTTTCCTGGCAGCACAACAATGGGTAATACCCAAGCTACAACCAAGGGAGGGAAAGAAAAACTCAGACATCAAATTATATAATGCAAGTGTATTAGCACAACCAAACCAAACGTGACAAACAGTGCAAAAGATTAACTCAATCGTTAGAAGTAGAAAGGACAGATCTGCCACATTCATCAGATTGACCAGCCTTTACGTCTATACAATAATGTCTGATAAAAGTATTTGAAGACGACCAAGTAGCTGCTTTGCAAATTAGTTCTGGAAAAACTTTTGCTGCCGCTGCCCAGGATGAAGAAAGAGATCGCATAGAATGTGCTTTCATACCTTCAGGGATTCTTGCCTTAGACACTTTATAGGCTTGGATAATAGCAGAAACTATCCATCTGTTGATAGTAGCTTTAGAAGCTTGAAGGTCTTTCCTAAAGCCATTGAGAATGATAAAGAGCCTTTTAGAAATTTGCCATTCTGAAGATCTTTGTACATAAAACTTGAGGCACCTCACTAAGTCAATGGCGTTCCAATTTGTATCTTCTTCATTAATAGGTTCCTCTGAAAGTAATGTTGGTATCACTATTTCTTTATTCATATGGAATCCTGAAGTCACCTTAGGACGGAACTCAGGAACTGTTCTTAGAATGACTGTTTCGATGAAAAATAGTGAAAGGTTCTTCAGCAGGTTGAGCATAAAGATCTTATACCCTTCTTCCGGAAGCTAAGGCTACTAGTAGAACAGTTTTAATAGTGAGTAGATGATTAGAAATAGATTCCAATGGCTCAAATGGATCTGTTTTAAGTGCTTTCAGAACCAGCGGTAAATCCCATGGTGGAGCAATCGGTTTAATAGGAGGCTTGATCTTTAATACTGCAGTCATGAATCTGACTATGTCTGAGTCAAAGGCCCATTTATGATTAGTTAAGGCAGAGAGGGCTTAAATATGGACCTTCAAAGTATTACAAAGTAACCCTTTATGCAATTG